GGTACTAAGGATAGGACTATGGTTGAGACAAATTCCACTCACACAGATGGCAACCTGTGGACCAATGAACCCCAACCCATGCTGAAGTAATTCACTAAGGATGTGGATAATGTTTTCAACCAAAGGATAGCACCTCAGGCAGAGAGAACATGATGTAACAGACACCTAAGCCTAGAAGGAACTTGGTCCAACCCAGGAACTAAAAATGGTTTGATATGGTTGAAGAGACACAGTACAGTGGATACTGATGAGTTTGAGTAAAAAAAGGACAGGCCATGAAGGGGCTTGCAAGCCCTGTTAGATAGCTTGGAAGAGCAATGAGAATCCACTGAAGGGTCGGAAAGGGAAAGGTGACTGATCAGATCTGTTTTAAGACCACCACTCTGCTTTCCAGTACAAAACAAGCTACAGAGGATCAACAATGGCATGCAGGGGACCGGTCAGGAGGCTACTGAGGGATTCCAGGGAGAGATGGTGGCGGCCTGAACTAGCCGGAGCGGAGACTGGGAGTGGAAAGGGGGGCCTAGCCAAGAGGGGGCCTACCATCTGTGTGGATTCCATGTGGGCGGTCAAGGAGGGCAGGAGGTGAGGATGACGCCCAGGCTGGCCTGGACACTGGGTGGGTGGCGGTGCCCATGCCCAGATAGGGAATACAAGAGGAAATCGGCTTCCCTCGCCTCCCCATCGTCCCGGCACAGTCAAACCAAGCTCGCCCTGCAGGACAGGACCTGCTGGTTGTCCCCTCCAGGAGGGGGATGGGGAGGGGAGGGGAGGGGGAGCACCAGCAGCGGACGGCGTCACGCCCACGGCCGGTCCTCCAAGAGCCCATCTGGCTTCAAAGCCCCCAGCGGCTTGCCCCGAGAGAGGGGCTCTGCTTCAAGCCCGCTGAACTTACGGAGGCGCTCGGGAGCCGCTCCTGCCCCTCAACCTGAGCCCGAGGCCCCAAGACCCCGGAGGGGCACCGGAATCCAGCCCTGCTGAGGACCCCTGGGCGCCACCCCACGGACCTCCTTCCCCAGAATTGGGACATGGGCCTCACAAGCCGCAGCCCGCACCTGGGATGCTCCCAGGTTCACTCACCCTCGCTGCCCGCTGTTGCCCAAGTTTCTCGGACACGAAGCTTCCCAGCGTGAGCCTCGCCAGCTCCCGTCCTCAGAAAGCTTTTCCCCGGCCCCGCCCCGCCCCCGGCCTGCCGTGCGCAGGCGCGCTCCCTTCTGCCCGCCCCTTGGCGCCGCGAGGCCCCACCCCTACCCGACGCCTGGCAGTGTGCACTGGCAATGTGTACACCTCGGGTTATTCCACGTGTAACCGGCCCTGGGAGGTCGGGCAGACGCAGTTCTTCCTGCTTCCCGAAGGCGACACTCGACTGGAGCCTGGGTTGGTAGGCCAGAACACCTAGGGGCCCGGAAGGTTTCTAGGCAACCCCGGAAACCCCCAGGAACGCAGTCCCGCGTAGAACATGGATGGCGAAAACCGTCGGGGCGGACGCCGAAGGTAGCCTCCAGCTCCGAGTCCACTTACACTTTTACAGCGGTCTCTCCACCTGCAAATTGGGAGGAAAGATAATAGGAATCCTAATTTCTTTCCTAATACTACGGCCTAAAAGACGCTGGCGCCGGCCTTGAATCCTGTGTTTGCAAGATGGGCCTATTTCCTGACTCTGCTTTCTCAGTTCCACAGAAGCCATCATCTGCAACACCTACTCACTCCCGTGGGAGTCCCACCAAGACTTTATGGGTGGCCCAGTTCAAATACCACCGTAGCTGTGCAGTTTATGAAATCATTGCTATCTCAATAGAAGACAAGCATTAAAAACCATACATTCTTTGTGCTTGTTTATAGTAGGCCCTTAGTAATTATTTGTTACGTTAATTTTAGAATCCTAGAATGTTAAAGGTTTCCACAGGCCTGGGACACGAGAGCTCTGGGCTCTCTCCTATCCCCACCCACTCACTTTATGGTTGATACCAGCACCTCCCTCCTCGCACTGACCTGCCCACCACCGTCCCACTTCCTTCTGTTTCCTGGGGTCCCAGGTGACCCCTGCTTCTCCTTGGTGACTTTTGTGTCATCTTGCAGGACTGCTGCAATGGCCCCTGCCAAGAGTGGGGGCCATGCTTCCTCTCCGCCTTAGCCAGTACTGGTTCTCTGTGCAGATACTGCTGTTCTAGGGGAGAGAAATCAGCCCAACACACCAACACTCAGAGCCTTCTCAGCTCACCTTAGCTGGCCTGATTGTGAGACCCCCTCAACTAAGGCCACCTGAGTGTCTGCCCTTCAGTGATTATAGAAGTTTTAAGCTTTAAACAATAGCTTTGCTCCATCTGCTTTTCAAACAATTTATTTCTCTTTTTTATCTTTTAAAAAACATTTTTGTTGTGAAAAACACAAAAGAAAGTACATAAAACAATATAAAGCAGGGAGAGGAAATAGGCAGAGTAGAGGAGCTATTCCCTTGACACAGGGGCCTTTCCCCAGGGAGGCTCTGCTGACTTCCTCCTGCAGCTGGGCTGAAGTCTTGGAGCTGAAACCACCCTGCCAGACTCTGAGAGCCAGGGGCTGCCCAGCCTTCTGCTGTCTGGAGGACTGCAGCACCGTCTGCTCTGCCCCAGGCCCACACTTACTTTGTGCATGATACCCAGAAGTTATGCAGGTGTTGTCTATGCCCATCACAGTGAGCAGATGTAGATAATTGATGCTGCTGAGAGACTCTCTGGATTGGGCTATCAGAGAAAAGGTTCTGATTATGAAGGATAAAGGGTATGTGAGATATGGAACAAGTTTATATGGACGTTGCAAAAAAAAAAATAAGACAGAGCACACAATAGTGTTTTACAGTAAATTCTCTCCTTAAACTTGGCTGGAAGAGTGTTGTTTATTAAAATCCACTGGGCAATTCTTGTGATAAACCTCCAGGATGGCATCTAAAAAGGACCTGCTTTATCCTCCTCGTCCCTACTCTACCTCCAAGTACTAGTAGATGAGCCATCAGTCAGCCCAGAGAGTTTACATAAACACTCTGGATGGTTCTTTGGCTATAAAGAAGCTTCTAATATTCTTCCAGAAGGATCATTTTCTATCATTCAATAGATTGCATCTTTATTCTCTAAGACTGTTTGAAACACTTGCCTCAAAACCCTCACTTTGCCCTGCCCAACAATCCTCAACTATTGCTCATGATCCTTGCCCAGTTCTAAACAAGCCCCCTCATTGGAAGAGCTGTCTTAAAATAGATCCTGACACTTCATAAATTTCTCAACTTTGCTCCACCCTCCCTCCCAGATGCCATTATGGTTCTACAGAGCACTGTTCTCCCGTGTGGGATGAGAACAAACTCACCCTTGCATTATCACAAAGTTGTTTCAGTGATATTTTCAGGGAGCCAGGCTTTAATTATTGAGGTCCATTGAGGTCCAATGGAGACCTCCTCACTACTGAGGTGCAAGACCCCTGACTCAGAAACCGTGTGCTCCTCCAAGGCCCTCAAACCCCTCCCTCAGGGGCCTCTCAGACCACACCAGTGAGGAGGTGAAAGGCCTGCTGCATTAGGCCTGAGTGCCAATTTCTTTTTCTTTTTTTAATGTTTTTTTTTTAATTATTACTGATTTTTTAGAGAGAGAGAAACATTGATCCACTGCCTCCTGCACGCCCCTAACTGGGGATCGAGCCTGCAACCCGGGCATGTGCCCTGACCGGTAATTGAACCGGGACCTCTCAGTCCAGGGGACAACGCTCAATCCACTGAGCCAAATGGGCTAGGCCAATTTCTTTTTTTAATTGTTCTTTTTATTGAGCTCCCAAACATTGAGCCTATTTTGTCCCCTAGTAATAAGGAACACTTTTTAGAAATCCTGTGATTTTTCATATTTGAAAGTCTTTTCTCTTCAGTGAATTAATGCCTTATTATTCAGGCTACTACTCATCAGGGTCCACCCTGGGCATCTATAAGAGGAAACTTTATTTTTTAGTTAATCCTCACCTGAGGATCTTTTTTCATTGATTTTTAGAGTGGAAGGGAAAGAGAGAGAGAGAGAGAGAAACAGAGAGAGAGAGAAACATCGATGTGAGAGAGACACATCAACTGGTTGCCTCCCTCATGGCTCCGACTGGGGCTGGGGATCAAACCTGTGACCCAGGTACGTGCCCTTGACTAGGGATCGAACCCACGACCCTTTGGTCCACAGGCTGATGCTCCAACTGCTGAGCCAAACCAGCCAGGGTATAGAAGAGGAAACTTTATAGTGAAGAGGATAGTTGGGTCCCAATAAATCCATCCCTAAGCTGTCCCAGGGACAAAATTTTTCTCAAGCCACTATCAACACCTTATGAGAACTTTCCTCAGGCTTGTTTTGTCTGTGAGAGTTTGGTTCAGCTGAGGTCTCTTGACACCCTCCATCTGCTGGGAACTGTAAATTCATCAGAATTGTGATTGGATAAGGTCTAGCTGTGAGGTTGGGGGCCCTGAGCCACAGGAGGCATAAGCAACTCTCAGCTGACCACCCCCAGACTCTCATAGGGTTCTCTCAGTGTAAACCTCAGTCCATGCCTTCCTGAGTGCCGACTTCTGCTTCTTACGTGTATTTCTGCTGTGGCCCAAATTTGTGAATTTATCTTTCTAAATAGCATCAATTCACCAGGGGTAATTTAGAATTACAGTGGCCACTACAAGGAGCTTTTGATATGAAGAAAGTTACTCACTTGAGAAGTGCCTAGAATGAAAAGGGATCCCAAACATCCAATGATGTTCATTTTTTTATTAGCATGAAGAAGCATCCAGAATTGGATTTCAAAATTACTTCCTTAAACAGATTCTTTGGCCAAAGCAAAATAAAAATATGAACAACTTAAAACTATCTGTCTTGTACATCCCCCCACATCACAACTCAAACCTACTAACCTCTTCCCCTATCCTGTGCTCCTCCAGCTCCTACTGCCCCATCTCTCCCTCTGACCCACTCTCCTTCCATCCTGGCTGGCCAGATACCCCAAACTTCACTTACCTCTTTAAGGTAGATCTCTTTCCACACAGAAAAAAAGTCTTATGGTGATTTTTAAGCCCTGGTTTCATTCTCAGCTGAAAGCCATTATCAAAGACTCCTCAACACCTAAACAAGACAGAGAATATCACAGAGGAATTTAGGATAGTTTGAGGAAGATATAGTCCAGAGCTTCCAGATATATACCAATTAGTTCACACATTAGTAGGAACCTCAGATGCAAAAAGTTCTATAAAAAAAAAAAACAGGAAGCCTGGCTAGTGTGGCTCAGTGGTTGAGCATTGACCCATGCACCAAGAGGTCACCGGTTCAATTCCCGGTCAGGGCACATGCCCAGGTTGTGGACTAAATTCCCAGTGGGGGGCATGCAGGAGGTGGCCAATCAATACTCTCTCTCATCGATGTTTCTATCTCTCCCTCTCCTTTCCTCTCTCTCTAAAATCAATAAAGAAAAAAAAAAGGGAAGACCTCCACTGGTGACTTAAGAGACCTTGAATTGCATAGAAAACTGAAGGCATTTAGAAAAGTTGTAGATGTTGGTCAAGGTCTTGAGAAGCTATCCTTTATCTTTACTGTGAAAACAGATTGTGCTCTGATTCAGTTCTTCAAGCCAAAAAAAGGAGAAATCTGATGGACACTGCAGGGAAAGATTCCTTAATACCTAGGGACAGCATTTAGGAGTAAATCCTGAAGCCGACTGGACCTTGGATCTCCTCTTATCTTTTTGTGAATGGCCTTAAACCAGAAAAAGGAAATTTAATATGCAAGCGAAAAGCAGAATGGAAACAATGCTATGGTCAGACCTCCAAAACCTTGAAAGAGCTCTCTCTATACTGAAAATGCTCTAGAACTACTAGGGGAAAAAAAGAGAGAAAAAAAAGTTATCAGTGGCCTTGGCTGGTGTGGCTCAGTGGTTGGAGCGTTGTCCCATGCACTAAAGCGTCAAGGATTCAATTCCCAATCAGGACACATACCCAGGTTTCGGGTTTTGATCCGTCGTTGGAGCGCATACAGGAGGCAACTCACATCAATGTTCCTCTCTCTCTCTCCCCCTCTCCCTTCCTCTCTCTCTATAATCAATAATAAAAAGAAATCCTCAAGTGAGGATTAAAAAACGAAGTTATCGCCCTGACCGGTTTGTCTCAGCGGTTAGAGCGTAGGCCTGTGGTCCGCAGAGACCAGGGTTTGGTTCCCGCTAAGGGCACGTACCTCTGTTGCAGTTTGTCCCCGGCCCTGGCTGGGTCGTGTGGGTGGCAACCACTTGATGTGTCCCTTTCATGTCGATGTTTCTCTCTCTCTCTCTCCCTCCCACTCTATCTGAACAAAATATCGAAAAATGTCCTCGGGTGAGGATAAAAAACAACAACGAAGTTATCAACGAAGGTGTTCAATTTCCCATACTACTCTCAAACCTGCAGGGAAACATTTCTCTAAAAACTAAAGGACAACCTTACAACTTTTTGACTGATATGGGAACAATAATATCAATCTTGAACCTGAGTACCATTATACAGCCTGTTCCTTGGAGTCAACAAACTACTTGGATCAAGCATTTATCCGATAGTCTTCGCCACACCTTCTCCAGATCCGCAGTCCCCCAATCCCCCACTCCCGCCCCCATAACTGTCAGCCTTGAACATTTTTTCCCCCTTTTTTAGCCTTCAATCTTTAACTGAAGAAAATTTTCTCCTTTGTGACACTACACTCATTAACAGCAAGGGATTTACTGTGTGAATGCTCTCCTGACAATGTCTTCCTTCCAGTCCTGGAGGATCTCCCTGTTCATAATGAGGTCCTGGCTGATTTGGATATTGATTTGCCAGTACTTCTGTGTGTAGATCAAGCACAGATTGAAGTTCTTTTGTAGGCAAACAATTCTGATATTTTTCCAAACTAAACCCATCAAGGTTCAGACTGTCCCACCTAAACTTCTACCCAAACTTGCACAATAGCCTCTAAAACAAGGTGCTAAAGAAGGAATAAAACTAATAATCAAAAGCCTTAAAGAGAAAGAAGTCTTCATATCTAGTCCTACTGTCCCATCAAGCAAACCAGTGGGCAAGAGTATGGATTCACTTAGGTTCCTGGCCACAAATAAATTAGTCACTCTCCGCTTCCTGTAGAACCAAATTCAAATACTATTTTATATTCAGGTCCTACGGAGACTGACTACATGTTTTACAAATGTAGAACTATACTGTACTTTCTTTGGGTCTCTTTAAATCAAGTCAATAACTGTTTTCTCTAGGCAAAATCAACAACATACCTGGACTGTTATGCCTCAGTTTACTGAGGTGCGCTTCTCCTTTTCACAAGACCTCAACCAGGACATCAAGGGCTTTTTTATTTTTTCAATATGTTTTTATTGATTTTAGAGAGAGAGGAAGGGAGGAGAGAGAGAGAGAAATATCTATATGAGTGAGAAACATCAATCAGCTGTCCCCTATACACACCCCGACCAAGGACCAAATCTGAAACCTGGGCATGTGCCCTGACCTGGGATTGAACCAGCGACCTTTCAGTGCACAGGATGATGCTCAACCAACTGAGCTACATCAGCCAGGCTATCAAGGGCTTTTTTTTACATTGCTCTATGATCCTGTTCTTATCTGATATGTGGATGATCATTTATGTTGCAAAGATAAGGTGAGCTCTAAGAGAAAGTCATCTACATGCTTACTCTTTTAGCTCAGAGAGGGCATACGGCTTTCATGGAGAAGTTAACAATTTGTCAAAAGAAAGTGCATGACCTAAGACAAGATTTATCCCATGGAAGTGATCCCCTTACTCCAGACAACTGGCTGTGCAAAAGGTCACTTGCCAATACCTAAGGGACAATTAGGAGGATTCCTGGATCTCAATGGCCCCTGCAAAGCAGTGCATTCCTAACTTTCCTGCAATTCCCACGCCATTATTTGACTCACGTCAGTACTTGGTAACGAAACCTTTTCTCTGGGAACCCAACTCTGAACAGGCTTGTTGTGAGTTCAAATGAGCTCTTCAATACCCTCCCATTCCAGGCCTAACTAAATATCATAAACCTTTCCACCTGTAAATATATGAGAGATCTCACCATGATCATCAAGATTGATAGCTTAGCCCAACCGGTGTGGCTCAGTGGATTGAGCATTATCCCATGGACTGAGAGGTCCCCGGTCAGGGCACATACCCGGGCTGTGGGCTTGATCCCCAGTAGGTGGCGTGCAGGTGGCAGCCAATAGATGTTTCTCTCTCTCCCCCATTTCCTCTCTCTCAAAAAAAAAAAAAATTCAATAGCTTACTCAACAAGGCCTGGAAATTAGAAGCAACATTCCTTTTTATTTAGTAAAGGACATTTAATATAAACTTTAAAAAAAGAGTTATTTGCACTTTAATTGTTCTTAAACTGTTTTTTGTAAAATTTTTGCCACATTGTCAGCATTTTTATGAGAGGCTGAGGGGGATAATTTACTCTGTTAACTTTTTCCTTACCAAGGCAAATAAATAAAGATTAAAAATAAAAAGCCCAATAGCTTACTACAGCCTCTCTCATGATCCAGTGGCAAGTGCCTCTCCATCTTGTCTGGGACAGTAGGTAAACTATTAGCATCTTCTGTAGACTTGGTTTTAGGGTCCCCTTTAAACCAGATGGCCCCTCATGCTGTATCTTTATCGCCCTCTGAAAACACACATTGCTCAGCAGGTTGTTTACCCCCTGTGAAGTTCATTACCTCCTCTGAGAGGCTGCTAAGACATCATGGCAATGCCTTCCCTCACTCTGGTAAGCAATGAGCTCAGCTTCGCCTGATCAGCAAGGTATCTTGGTAGTGTTTTCAAGATGGCAAGCAGTCTTTACCAAAATCTCGCCTAAACTCTCATCTAAGAAATTTCAGATTATTAAAAAATAAAAACCACCACCACCCTTTCTATACGACTTTGACTTTGGCAAATGTTACTAATACAATCATGGTTGTTCTTTGTTGTGCCTACAGTCACTTGCCGCCCCCAAAACTGCTGGTAGCTACAGGGCTGGGGTCTGTCTCTGCTGAAAAAGAGCCACGAAGGCACATGTGCCACAGTACTGAGAAGAAGTCCATCATAAATTTTAACCATGATACTTAGCAGGGCTTTCCCTGACAGTGGGTGTTCCTCCCCACCACAACCCATGCCCACACAAATATTGGAGCATCCGGCAAAGAAATAAGCAGCCAATCCCCTTTAGTTAGTTTCCTGGAGTCCTGCAACCTGGGGTCAGGGTTGCTAAAGGCCTGGAGAAAAGAGGGAGGAGGGGAAGGTTTTCTTTTTTCCATAAAGATTGCCTCCCGTTGCCCTAGCTGGTTTGGTTCAGTGGTTAGAGCCTGTGGACTGATGTTCTGGGTTCGATTCCAGTCAAGGGACGTACTTGATTGCAGTTCGTCTCCAGCCCTTGTAGGGGTCCTGTGGGAGGCAACCAGTCGATGTGTCCCTCCCCCGTGGATGTTTCTCTCTCTCTCTCTCTCTCCCTCCCACTCTATCTGAAGACAAATGGAAAAATATCCTCAGGTGAGGATTAAAAAAAAAAAAGATTGCCTCCTGTTTATCAACTCTGCTTTTCTTTTTTTTTTAAATCTTCACCAGAGGATAGTTTTCCATTGATTTTCAGATAGAGTGGAAGGGAGGGGTAGAGAGAGAGACATGGATTGGTTGCCTCCTTCAAGACCCGGTGGGAAACCAAGGACAAGAGGTATTGCCCTTGATGAGAATGGAACTGGAACCCTTTGGTCTGAAGGCTGAAGCTCTAACCACTGAATCAAACCAGCCAGGGGCTCAACTCCACTTTTCTTTGCCTGCCTCAGGGCTGACCCTGGGGAATACCAGACCTGGGGTAAATCACAGGGTGTTCTCAGCCCACCCTCACCCCAGGACACGCACAAATCATTCTCCAAGCAAAATCCGGTTCTGGTAACCAGCAAGGGCAGTCAAGGGTAACTAACCAAAAGCCAACTAGAGTTGACAGGAGTAGGCAAGGAGGAGTGTATGTAAACTGAATAAATTCTAACTGCCAGAGTGTCCCAATTTGCCTTCACCTACCTCCTGGCTCTGGGGGTTCAGAACAGACCCCAGGTGCTCAGAGCTGCGTCCAAGTTCAGGAAATCCTGCCTGCCAAGCAAGGAATGGAGCTGCATTGGGAACCCAGAGAGGAGGGTATCTAAGGGGTAGGGGGTGAGGGGCAGGAAGACTGCCTTCAACAGATAACTCCGTGTGGCTGCAGAACAAAGGGCCCAGTGGGATTAAGCACCAGGAGTCCGGGCTCCCCTTGACGAAAGCCTTCCCACGTTACAGTTGTCCAGAAGCACGAAGCAGTGAGTCGCCTAACATTGAGAGTGGTCAAGCTCACTCCCAAGGTCACGTGTCCGGCAGTGGTAAAGACCCAGGTGGGGTTATCTTAGGAGTCTTTACTTAAAAGTTTGCCCGGACTCCCCTGTTTCCTGGACTCTTCCCTGAAATGCCGAGTTGTTTGTTTTTGTTTCCTTTTGTTTTGGTCTTGCTGTGGTTTCTCGCGTGATAGCCTCAATCCCTACACGAGACTAAACCGAGGTCACCGCGGAGGCGGGGCCACCATAACCTGTACCAGGCAAAGGATGTTGGTCTGTCCCCTCCCTCCAAGCCATCAAGTAATCCTTTGAACTTCTTAGTACCCCACAGCGCCGGATTAAGCCCTGCCAAGAGCTCGGTACAGCTTTGATCACAGTCTTGAGACACCGGAATTAAGAGATAAATAAATACCAAGTTGGAGAAACAGCTTATAACCTTTAAGAAATCCAGGGCAACTGGATTCTGCAGAGGACAGGCCAGCCAGTTAGTGTAGGGGAGTCGAGTTGGAAAGAGGAACTCCGCTGTTTAAAAAAGGGAAAGAAACAGTCTGAGTGGAGGCGTCCAGAGCCGAGAGACTGGAAACCGGCTTGTTTCCTCCCGCGTACCCCGGGGGTGGCGCGCAAGGCTCGCGCGTTCCCAGGGGGGAGCAGGACAGTACCCGCGCGGCGGCGGCGGTTCCCGGGGAGGCGCGCTCTCGGAGTTGGAGACTCCCGGCCGCCGGCCTGCCTGCCTGCCTCTCCTTGGATTTGTGACGTGTCGGGGGCAGCAGTGGTGACGGGGCCACCACACAAAGCTAGGACGTCGGGCCGGGGGGTCTCCCAGGCCCAGAGCCCCAATGGGATGGGAAGGGGGCGTGGAGCGAGGCGCCCCCGGGCGCCGGGACTCCGCGCAGCATTAAAGTGAACGCCGAGTCCGCCGCGCGTGCGGCGGGCGGTTGGCGCTGGGGCGGTCGCGAGCGCTCATCGCGCGCCTGGCTGCTGTGGCCGCGCTGGCCTCGCTGGCCGCCCGCGCGCCCTGCTCGCCCGAGCCGCGCCACGCCCCCGCGGGGGTGGAGCCGAGGCCAGGGGCGGGACCGCAGCTGGCGGTGCTCCGGCTCGGGGCGGGGGCTGTGGCAGCAGCAGCTGCAGCGGCGGAGGCAGCGGCGACAAGAGCTGTTGCTGCAGAGGCGGAGGCTGCTTCTGAACGCGTCCGGGCCGCGCAGCCGGAGCCCCAGCCCGGAGGCTCCGGGCAGTGCACTAAGTGCTGCTGCTGCTGCGCTCCCGCCGCCGCCTGCGCCGCCGCTGCCGCCCGAGCCCCGGCCACCGTCCGCGCCCCTATCGACCCCGTCCGCGTGTACTCCTCAGCCGGGACGGCGCCCCCGGCCGGGTCTCCACTTCTTGGCCGTATCTCCCATGACAGCACCCGCTCGAAGATGGCTGCGAAGGGCGCGCACGGCTCCCACCTGAAGATAGAGAGCGAGCTGGAGCGCTGCCGCGCCGAGGGCCACTGGGACCGCATGCCCGAGCTGGTCCGGCAGATGCAGGCGCTGGTCGTGCCCAGTGGCGGAGGCAGCAGGCGAGCCATTCCAAGCGCCTTATTCACCTCTCTGGACCCCGGTGAGTGAGGGAAGGAGCTGTTCACAAGCTGGAGCGCGCGAAACGCACCGCCTCCTCCAGGAAGCGCGCCCCGACTGCCCCCGCCGGCAATGGCCGTCTTTGGTATTACTCTTACTCTAATGCCAGTCTTAGGAGAGCCAGGGCAGTTAGAAAGATTTTTCTGCCTCGGAGAAAAATCGTGCAGGTTGGGTGCTTTGGGGAGAGAGAGAGACGTCTTTTGCTCTCTGCCCTTTAGGATCATGTGGGCAACTCCATCTATTATGAACCGGTGATATCGGCACGTGTCAGATTTGGGCTTGGGCTGGACTCTTGCACCGCCCCTCTACCACCCCCAACCCCCACCCAAGTCTTTAAACTCTATCAGGTGAAAGCTGTGTGTGTCTCTCCTTGCCCTCCTCCTTTCCCCAAGTCAGGTTGACAGCGGAGCTCTGTCTAGTTGAAAGAGTTCATGAGCTCCAGGATGGAGTGGTGAAGTGTGAAAGAGGCCTGTTAAGCCTCAGTTTCCCTATTTGTGGCCAGACTCGGGACCCTTCTAGCCCTAGCAGCCCATGGCTTTAGCAGCAGGGCTGGTTTGGCTGGGCTGGGCCCTTTGCCTGGGTGGGAAAGCACCCTGATGTGGCAGTGGGGGAAACCCCGCCCCAGTCTCCAGCCTCAGATCCTGTCCCTGGTGCCTTCAGCTCAGCCTGGAGAACCCTCTCTGAGCCCTATCTTTGAGCACCTCAGAGCCCTGTGGAAGGAAGTAAATAAACACAGACATAAAGAATTTTAAAGACTGCCTGTGGAAGGCTCTGTGGGGGAGAAGGAATGATAATAATAGTAAAAGTAATTGCTAACACTTATCTAGCACTCACGGTGTGCCAGACACAGTCCTAAGCACTTTAATCAACTCATTAATTCCTCCCAACAACCCCATGAAGCAGCTACTCTTGTTTGCCCCACTTACAGATACGGACACTGAGGCACAGAAAGTCAAGCAACTTGATCATCTAGCCAATAAGTGGTGGAATCAGGCTTTGAACCCAAGTTTCTCAGTACATCCTTTTAACCACTTGCTTCCTTGCCCCTCAAAGATGTATAGCACAAAATCTCAGCTTGAAGAGTTGCTAAAATGGGGAGGCAGGGAGGTGATCAAAGGGCAATTGTGTGTTAGATGGTTGGGCTCAGAGGAAGGGGAGAAGGTTTCAGGAAGTATCAGAATATGTACTGATCTCTAACTGGGAAGTGCAGAGTATGTCTGCCCAGTGAGGAGGAAGGGTAGAAGGACACTGAGAGGGTCTAAGTGGCAGGGATGGACAGTCAGGTTGAATCTTTGAGATAGGTCTAAATGTGGCAGTGAGGGGCAGTGACCAGAGCTGGTACACATATGGGAGAAGCTGGTAAGCCCCCCTTTTTAGGGCAGAATAGATAAATTGTAGGTTCCCCTCTGTCCCCTGTGTGGGGTGATATGGTGGAGTAAGTCTAGAGAGAGTGGGAATGGAAAGTGACCCACACAGAGGGCATTGGGGTCTGGGAGAGGTATGGGAATCTAAGTCAGGTTGGCAGTGCAGAGAAACATACTGGGGCCAAGACAGGAACCAGGCCTCCCCGAGTCCATACAGGGCTGTATTTCCTAAGCTATTCTTTAGAGGTCTCAAAGACATTGAATAGTTTATTCATTGGTATCCCAGGAAGAGAGGGTTTAGAGAGCCACACAAGTTAAGAAATTGGACCTAGTGGATTACATAGCATCAGACATTTTTATTTATTAATTTTTTTAAATATGTTTTTATTGCTTTTAGAGAGAAAGGAAGGGAGAGAGAGATAGAAACATCGAGAGAGAGAAACACTGATCCACTGCCTCCTGCATGCCTCCCACTGGGGATCGAGCCGGCCTCCCGGGCATGTGCCCTGACCAGGAATTGAACCGGACCTCTCAGTCCATGGGACAATGTTCAGTCTACTGAGTCACACCTGCTGGGCTCATCAGACATTTTTAAACTGCAGGACTTATCAGGGCCTTCAATATGCTCACCTATATGTGACGTAAAAGCCAAAGTTAGAGTATAAATACCACATTTGTCAAACTTCTCTTACTGTAGTCTATGAAGCATTATTGGGAAACACTAGTATGACATAGTTTATAAATAGTATAGTATAACCCTGGCCGGTTTGGCTCAGTGGTTAGAGCGTCGGCCTGTGGTCCAGAGAGACTCGGGTTTGGTTCCCGCTAAGGGCGTGTACCTCGGTTGCAGTTTGTCCCCGGCCCTGGGTGGGTCGTGCGGGTGGCAGCCACTCGATGTGTCCCTTTCACGTCGATGTTTCTCTCTCTCTCTCTCTCCTTCCTGCTCTATCTGAATAAAAAATGGAAAAATGTCCTCTGGTGAGGATTAAAAAAAAGATACCTTCTGGTGAGGATAAAAAAAATAAATAAATAAAAATAAAATAAATAAATAGTATAGTATAAAGTGCTTTCTCCCTATATTTTTTTTTATTTTTGTGAACAACCCTGTGGGGAGGGCAGAAATTATTGTTCCCATTTTAAACACAGGGACACCAAGACTCAGAAAAGTCACATATGTATGTGGCAGAGCCTATACCCAAACCTGAGTCCCTGCAACCAAGTCTACTAGTGACAGAATCAAGCATAGAGCCTGGGCTGGCTCCATTGTGGGAACTGACCAGCACAAGAGAGATGGAAGGATGGTGGGAGGTCTCTCCTACCAACTTTTAGGTTTGGTTCTATGAGTGATTTTTTTCCCCACTGTTAAATCCAGATACGCTATCCCAAACTTGTACACATGAACAAGGAAAACAAGTAACTCCCAAAGTCCATGCATGGAGCATTTTATTGTTGTTGTTGTTGTTGGAGGATTGTTTGCTGTTTTGGTTCTCTCTCCATGGGGTTCTTGATCACTGGAGGGAGCCTATTTGGGGGGGGGGGGGCGGTATTGGAGCTGACCCCCTGCAACCCAGGAGGGAGGTTCTTTTTTTAAATATGGAACATTTCACGTATTTGTGTGTGTCCTTGCTCAGGGGCCATGCTAATGTTCTCTGTATCGTTCTAATTTTAGTGTGTGTGCTGCCAAAGCGAGCACCAGGAGGGAGATTCTTAAAGTCCCACCTGGCCTGTTGGACTTTTAGAGTCAGTGACCAGAAGCTTCAACAGTTATATAATTTGAGAGAAAGGAGGAAGGTTCTAAGGGGGAGACAAACCCCAGTTATACCCCATTTTATAGACTGAGGCCTTGAGACCCTGCTGTATCTGTGGGGTTTCCTTCAGAAACTAAAAATCCCAGAGCATGGATTTCACTGCAGGGATTAGGAAGGGAGGACCTAGCTGGGGGTGCCTCCTTCTGGTCTGGTGGGGGTGAAGGACCAGGAGATGCTCCCTCAGAAAGGGCTCCTACCCCCTTTTCCTGTCTGGGGAGTCTGCTCCCCATCACTCACCCAGGGGGAAGGTGGTTACTCTTTGTACGTTTACTTTCAAACTCACATCCGGTTTATATTTGGTCAGGATGGAGCAGGGGAATCCCAGAGTATGACTGTGGTGGGGTTTGTAAAAAACAAAGAGCCCATCCAAGTGGTTAAAGAAAAAGAAAGAAAACTTTATTATGAAAAATTTCCAAAACATCAAAAAAGTAGAGAGAATGAATCTCATGTGTCCATCATCAATACCCCTGATTATAAACTCATGAACTCACTTGTTTGAGCTTTTTCTTTACCCATTTCTCCCTCGCACTGCAATATTTCAGTATGTACTTATTAAATAAGAACTCTTTTGAAAAATATCACTGCCATATCATTATCACCGCCCCCCAATCTAATTACTACATTTATTAGAATCAGGATCCAAATAAGGCCACACATCGCATTTGGTTAATAGGTTGGGTCTCCTCATGACATTTTTTTTTTTTTTTTTTTGTGGTACGTGCCCCTAGTGGGAACCGAACCCGGGTCTCTCTGGTCCGCAGGCCAACACTCAACTGCTCAGCCACACTGGCCAGGGCTCCTCATGACATTTTATTATGAAAATTTCAAACATACAACAACGTTGAAAGAATCTTGCAGTATACCTGTGTACTCACCTCCCTGATTCTGATATTATTTTACTTTACTTGCTATGTCACATGTCTGCCCTTCTCTCTATCCATCCTGAGTCTCTCCTAATCTGTATTCACCCCCCATCTTTTTATTTTTTAATGAAAATTTTTTTTGTCCTCACCTGAGGACATTTTTGCATTTATATTCAGATAGAGTGGGAGGGAGAGAGGGAGGAAGAGAGAGAGAGAAACATGGATGTGAGAGAGACACATCGAGGGGTTGCCACCCACATGACCCCAACCGGGGCCAAGGACAAACTGCAACCGAGGTACATGCCCTTAGTGCAGTGGTTCTCAACCTTCCTAATGCCGTGACCCTTTAATACAGTTCCTCATGTTGTGGTGACCCCCAACCATAAAATTATTTTCGTTGCTACTTCATAACTGTAATCTTGCTACTGTTATGTCTTAGGTGACCCCTGTGAAAGGGTCGTTTGACCCCCAAAGGGGTCGCGACTCACAGGTTGAGAACCGCTAGCTTAGTGGAAACTGAACCCGGGACTCTCTAGTCCACAGGCTGATGCTCTAACCGCAGAGCCAAACCAGCCAGGGCAATGAAGTTGTTTTTTAAACTAGAGATTGTTCCGAGTGTTTCTTCAGGTGAAGTTAGAGGGGATGTGTGAAGCAGGTGCCTCTCACTAGTTTCAGCCTCTTCCTCCTCTCGTGATGGTTGAAAGGTCCCAACCCCCTGCAGTCCTGTGACGTGAGCAGCTTTGGAGACCTCTGTACCTCTGTGTCCCCATTTGACCTCATGAAGAAGGGCCTGGTCTGAACTCCAGGCTTGCTGGCTGGACCCAGGTTTCCAGAAAGCGAATTGGCAGATTATTGAGAGGGGAACACCATCCTGCAAATATGGGTGCAGGGAGGAGGCAGATGTCCTTGAAATGGGTCTCTGACCTGGCACCCTGAGAGAGGCCTGGAGAGGGGTGGGAACAGAGAGGAAGCTAGCTGCCAGAGGCCTTCAATACAAGGTGGATGAGCAGACTGGGTGCCCACTGAGTGGTGGCCTCACTGGGTCTCTGTCAAGGGCAGGGGGCGGGGCTGGGCTGGGCTGCCAGAATCAGCACCCAGGCTCCCAGCAGCTCTCTCACTCGGCCAAGGCCTTCCAATGCCCCTGGGAGGGAGAAGCTGGAACCCTTTACCCGCATTGGGTAGGGAGTAGATTTTGGACATGATAATAAAAAGCAATTTGTTTCACCTTTAGAGAAGGACAGGAAAGCCTCTATCCACCTGGATTCTTATTTAACAACTAAAGATCTGGAATTTTTAGTTCTAAACTATCCTTCAGTTCCATAAACTGGCCAGTTGAGAATAATAGGATGGAAAGAAAGGGGGAAAGAAAGAGAAACAATGGTGCAGGGAGAAGAAGAATTGAACAAGGAAGAAAAAGTAAATTCCCAACACCTACTGAATGTCTGCTAAACAAAACAGAGGGGTGAAGTGGGGGGTGAAGAAGAGAGCAAAATAACTCTGGAGAAGGACCTGAAATGTTAGTTTACAAAATAACCTGAAACTCATATGTATATGACAGTGAGAACAATTCTTACCCCTGCCCTTGGAATTACTATTCGCTTTTTTAAAAAATACGATTTTACTGATTTTAGAGAGAGAGAGAAATATCGATCAGTTGCTTCCTGCATGTACCTCAACCAGGGATCGAACCTGCAACCTGAGTATGTGCCCTGACCTGGAATTAAACTGGCAATCTTTTCGTGACTGGGACAATGCTCAACCAACTGAGCCACACCAGCCAGGGCAGTATTGGCTTTTAACCTACTGTTTACAGCTCTTAGACTGTTCTTTATTTCTAAAGTTTCCGAAGCTTTGCTCTGCATGGGATGGATGCAAAGGAGACAGACTATTTTTTGGCTGTGTTATTTTATTGTTGTGGGCTGTAACCATAACAACATTGCATATTTTTATTATCATCTATAGTACAGATTCTATAAAGTGGGAATACTATCTACTTTTTAGGGCTGTGCTGATTAAATGATACTACGTAATATAGCACCTGGCCTTCAGTAGGCTCTCAACAAATATTAGTCTCCCTTTCTCGGTAAAAGGTGACTGGCTTAGCTAAAGAACATATATGCATAGCCCATGGACACAGACAATAGTGTGGGGAGGGCTAAGGGGGAGGCAGGGGCTGAGTGGAGGTGGGCCAAGGGGAGGGGAAATGGGGGACATCTATAATAGTGTCCACAATAAAAATTTAAATAAAATAAAGGCACTCTTGTAGTTTAGAGCAGTGCTTCTCAAATGATCTGTGAAGGATCAGTTTTATGTTTTCAGATTCCCAATTTTATGTACTCTGATACTTTCTTAAGGTACACAAACTTTTACCCCACAATTTTTTATTATTTAATTCAACAGTTCAGAATCATTCTGTCACATTATTATCAACGTTTGTGAACGTGTACTCTAAATTTCTGCACTTAGCTTCAGGGATTGGGTTACAAGTAGCGACCGTCCTACCTGTTTCAGTCCACAGATCACACTTGAGCAGCAAGTGTTCCGAGGACACTCCCATTATTTTGAGGAGTGTTGTGCGCCCTGGGTAGAAGCTGGTTTCTCCAGGCCCAAAAGGAATAGAGGCAATGAACCGTGGAGAGCTCTGGGCGGGGCAGTTGGGTGGCGGAGGCCAGGCCAGGTGGCAGGATGGCTCTGTGGCTGAGAATTGGGTGGGGAGCTCGCTGTACAGAGCAGAGCGCTTGTGCACTCGCGGGAAGAGGGTGGGGACTAGCCCTGGGGGTGGAACCTGGGGAGGGCGGTTCCCTGCGAGGAGCAAGTTCCTAACCCCACCCCTGGTTTTACAGAGGCAAAACAGGTAAGGTGGAGAGCAGTTTGCCCAGAGGTCCACCTCTCAGGACTGCTGCTGGGACACCCTCTGCTAAGCATCCCACTCCTCCTCCTGGCTCAGATTTGGAAATGAAAAAAGAGTGCCTTTCATTCTGGGCTTGATTTAAACTTTTATTTGTGACTAGGTAATATATCTACATGGGTCAACCCTCCAAAAAGTACCTGCAATTAAGAGTGAAAGGCCTCCTTCCGTTTCCGTCCCCTTTCCCCGTAAACCAGCAAGGTTATCAGACGTTTGTGTATCACATATTTTATGCAAGCATAAACACACAGTGGCCCATTATGTCCACTGTGCAGACTCTGCTTATCGATTTATTTTGGAGTGCATTCCATAATAGCACATACTGAACTTCCTCGTTCCTTTTTATGGCCGCGTGGTGTCTCTTTTTTATGGATGTACTATGCTTTAATCGGCCTCCTGTTGATAGACATACAGGTTGTCTCTAATTTTCTGCTATTACAAATAATGCTACAGGAATGACCTTATACGTAGATTGCTTTACACATTCTAAGGACATCTGTAGGAACAGAATTGCTGTCAGTGGGAATGTCCAAAAATAATTTTTTTTTTTTTAAAGCTTAGTAGTTTTTTGTTGTTGTTGTTGTTTTGGTGGTATGTGCCCCAAGCAGGAACCAAACCCGGGAGTCTGGTCCGCAGGCTGACGCTCAACTGCTGAGCCAAACTGGCCAGGGCGAAAAATAATTTTTGAGCTGGTCCGAGTGCAGTGGTGTCTTACAACTAATTGATCACAACCAGTTACAGATTTCTTTCTTCCTTCTCCATTCCCACTGCTTCATTTGACTGGCCTTAAAATAAATAAATAAAAATAAATAAATAAATAAATAAATAAACACATAATTTTTGATACATGTTGCTAAATTGCTCTTTATAGAGGTCCTCCCAACTTCTGTTCTACCAATGATGGATGGTTTGAACCAGATACTTGTCTGGCCATTCCTCTAAATGTTGATTTTAGAAATCATGAGGTAGGTATAGCAAGGGATCCACTAAAAGGCTGTGGTGTCCTCAGAGGGAAAATGTCCTGTGACTGTACTCTGGGATCTGGGCTTTGGGGATGCTCCCTACATGGACCCTCCCTTATGGATGGAGAGTCTTCTTCAGAGGCATGTGATTTGGGACCAGTGGCTTTGAGTTGTGAGCAAACTGTGGTGGTCCTGAAAGTGAGGAGGTAGCGGCATCCTGGGTAGGTCTGGCAACGCCTTCGAGGCAGGAGGAAAAGCTCTGTGAAGAGCTGGGATCAAGCATGCATTCCTGGAGACATTTTGGATTGGCACGTAACTCCCTGGGCCTTGTGGCTTCCTCCTGGGGTAGTGGAGAGGATTTGATTTACTTGGCAGCTATTTACTGGGCACCTATATTGATTGGTGGGCTTGGTCCTCACCCTGGTTGAAGTGGAAGGGCAATGAGCCAGCCACCCGAGGCCATCATGAAAGCATACTTGACCTCTGCCCCTGCACACTGAACACCCGAATCCCACCCCCACCTGTGTCATTTTTGCTGTAGGTAGCAGGAATATGGTGGTCACATATTGGGGTTTTCTTTTCATGTGGTGGGGGAGGCAGCAAATTAAACCAAGCAGTATAAATCCACCTGCCAGGTGGTGAGGTCTGCAGATAAGCTAACATGTGAGAGAACTCTAGAAAGTGTCAGTACTCAACTTGTTCAAGGATTAGCCATACTGCACAAGTCAATTGGCTTCCCACCTCAACACTTCACTTGGTTGCTAGGTTCTCCTTGGGTCATGTTAAATACCTTCAAAATGGAGAAAACCACATGGTTACATGGAAGTTAGGAGCATGTGAAAATGCATTATTAAACTGCTTCATAATTTTCATCTCTGGCCATTTGGAGGAATTCTTTTTTGGTTTAAGAATTTATTACCCACAATGGGTCATGGGTATGACTTTGTCCCACAAGTTAAATTCTGAAATTCTGGCAGTTTGTCCCAAGTTTGGGAAACTCTTCCTCCCCAACCACTAGAGAAAATAAACACAAAGGGGTGATTTAAACTGGTACAGTGCCTGTGTGTTTTTTTAATGTTGTTTAAGTTTATAGAAAACAGTATCTTCATTAATTTTCTCAGACCTGGTACATTTATGTGCTGGGATGGGTGGTTGAGGCAGTATGGGGACATGTACCTATCTCCACATTTGCCATGTTCAGGGAATCACTGCCCTGTTTTTCAGGTGACTTTGGAAAATTGCTCCTGGCTGAGGCCCTCCTGGAACAGTGTTTGAAGGAGAACAATGCCAACATAAAAGACTCCATCCCTTTGCTGGAAAAGAATGAACCGAAGATAAATGAAGCTAGAGACTATCTGAGTAGTATCCTCAACCATGGGAAGCTGTCGGTAAGTTGTCAGCCCCCCAGACCTGGGGCCCCCTTTCCCCTCCTGTCTGCTATCTGCTGTCCACCTCCCTGGGTCACTTGGTCACCTGAGCAGCACGTATCTCTTAGAGTTGGCCTTGTGCTATTCAGTGCAGCAGCCGCTAGCCACATGTGCTCTTGAAATGTGGCTAGTCCAATTTGAGATGTGTTTGTAAGTATAAAACATACAGTGGATTTCGAAGACTTAGTACAAAACAAAGAATGTAAAAGATCATTCATTCTTTACATTGATTACATGTTCAGATGAAAAGATAAATTGGGTTAAACAAAATGTTATTAAAATTAATTTTACCTCACCCCACACCTATCAGAATGGCTGCCATCAGCAAATCATCACATAAGTTCTGATGAGGGTGTGGAGAAAAGGGGACTCTAGTACACTGCTGGTGGGAATGCAGACTGGTGCAGCCACTATGGAAAAGAGTATGGTGTTTCCTCAAAAAATTAAAAATTGATCTGCCATTTGACCCAGTGATCCCACTTCTAGGAATATATCCTAAGAAGCCTGAAACACCAATCAGAAAGAATGTATGTAGCCTTATCTTCATAGCAGCACTATTTACAATTGCTAAGATCTAGAAACAGCCCAAGTGTCCATTAGTAGATGAGTTAATAAAAAAAGCTGTGGTGCCCTGGCCGGTTTGGCTCAGCGGTTAGAGCGTCGGCCTGCGGTCCGGAGAGACCCGGATTCGGTTCCCGCTAAGGGCACGCAGTGTGTCCCCGGCCCCGGTTGGGTTGTGCGGGTGGCAACTACTCGACGTGTCCCTTTCACGTTGATGTTTCTCTCTCTCTCTCTCCCCCTCTCCCTCCCACTCTATCTGAACAAAGTATCAAAAAATGTCCTCGGGTGAGGATTAAAAAAAAAAAAAAGCTGTGGTATACACAGTGGGATTCTATGCAGCTGTAAGAAAGAAAAATCTCTTGCCCTGGCCAGTTTGGCTCAGCGGTTAGAGCGTCGGCCTGAGGTCCGGAGAAAGAAAAATCTCTTATCCTTTGAGACTACATGGAGGGACCTCGAGAGTATTATGCTAAGCAAAATAAGCCAATCAAAGACAGACAAATATCACATGATCTCACTTATTTGTGGAATATAATGAATAGGTAGGCTGATGAACGAAATAGACCCATAGACATAGAAAAGAGTATGGTTCAGACTGACAAACCTCAGAGGAGGGGGGCGGCGGGGATGGATGAGATGAACCAAAGAACTAATATGCATGTGTGCATAACCAATGGACATAGACAACAATGCTGGGGAGTGTGGGGCCGGGATGGGTTGGAGGGTGTCTAGGAGGGAAAAAGGAGAAACATTTGTAACAAAAATAAATTAATAAAAATTGGAAAATTTAAAAAATAAAATAAAATATAGGATGGTAAACATAAAAAAAAGAGAGAGAGAGAATATATGTACCCCTCTGGTCACAGCAGCACTTTTTACAATTGCTACTATCTGGAAACAGCCCAAGTGTCCATCAATAGATGAGTGGATAAAAAAGCTGTGGTACATGTACACAATGGAATACTATGCAGCTGTAAGAAAGAAAAATCTTTTATTCTTTGGGATGACATGGAGGGACCTGGAGAGTATTGTGCTAAGTGAAATAAGCCAATTAGAGAAAGACAAATATCACATGATCTCACTTATTTGTGGAATCTGATGAACAAAATAGACCCAGAGACATATAAATAGGATAGACTGACAAACCTCAGAAGTGGGAGGGAAGAGATAAATCTAAGAACTTCTATGCATATATATGTGCATAACCAATGGAGATAGACAGCAATGCTGTCTATCGGGGGTGGGGGAGGGGGGTCGGGATCGGGAGGAGGGTCGCAGTGGGTAAAAAAGGAAAAACATAGGTAACAAAAATAAAAATTAATTTTACCTTTTTTAAATGTGACTAGAAAGTTTAAATTGCACATACGGCTTAAGTTGTATTTCTGTTAGCACTTGGTGACCTAGTATGTGCCTGATCTTGTGTGCTCTTTGAGGGTCTCAGAGAAATAAAACCTTAGTGAGCCCAAGATCTAGTTGGAAACAGGCAAACATGCAGAGCTGGCTAGTGATGGAAGACCTCAATAACAGGGCACGCCAGTTTAAATCCAAGTGCATTTATTGAGCACCTATTGTATGCAAGGCACCGAGGGGAGGTATAGAGGGGAATATAGTCACAGCTTTCTCTAGACCTTTACCTCTCAATGCATGGTCCATGCAACTGTAGACTGGGCATGATCTGGAAGCTGGTTAAGAATGCAAAGTCTGGCCCTGGCCAGTTTTGCTCAATGGTTAGCGCGTCAGCCTGTGGTCCAGGGAGACCCGGGTTCAGTTCCTGCTAAGGGCACGTACCTCAGTTGCAGTTTGTTCCCAGCCCTGGTTGGGTTGTGTGGGAGGCAGCCACTCGATGTGTCCCTTTTACGTCGATGTTTCTCTCTCTTTCTCTCTTCCTCTCTCTCCCTCCCACTCTATCTGAACAAAAAAAATGGGAAAATGTCCTCAGGTGAGGATAAAAAAATTAGAATGCAAAGTCTGAATTAGAATCTGCATTTAACAAGCTCTCTGGGTGGTTTATTGCACATTAAAGTTTGGGACTGTTCTAAATCATAGTGTATTCTGAGTTGTAGTAGAGGTATTGGTATGCCATTAGAGACTCAAAGAAGATAGCATTTTTCAAGAGATGTTCTAAAGTAATATATTTATTGACCTAAACATTTGATTGCAACCTACTGTGTGCAAGGCATTGTGTTATGTACTTTGAGGGCAGTAAAGATGAGTTCAGCATGGACCCTGTCCTCCGGGAGGTTGCAGGTCTACTGGGAAGATAAGTCCTATCAGCACACTGTCCAGTGTGGACTCTGACACATGCAACAGCCATATGTACATGCAGAGGCACGTCCGAGGGCAACGCTCCTTGCAGTGAGGTAGGAGTCAACTCGGGGATGGTAAGGGAAGGAAGATGGACTTACAGAGATAGGACAAGCATTTCAAGCCAAGGAAGCAGTGTGCAATCTAAGGGTTTCTCTTACAAGAATTTCATTAAAATATGCCAGCAAGAATAAAAGGTAATGATGGGTAATTAGGTTATAAAAGTACACTGGGGCCGGAGAATGGGAACTGGAACACCATACCAAGAAGCATCTGGTTTTGTCTGTAAGCAGTGCCAGGAGAGTGTACTGGTGGTTTAAGGTTACTGCCTTGAGGCTCATTGCTGTGATGGGATTGTAGCTCTGAGAGATTTTGTTTTGGATTAAAATAGCTGCTTGACCCTGAGTATGTCCTGACCTCTTGGGCCCTCCAGTTTCCCATCTGCCGATCAAAAGGGTTAAACTTGATTGGTGGGTCCCAAGCTTTTCCCACTAAGACCCCTTTAAATATATATATATATATATTTTTTTTTAGTAGACTCCATTAAATATTTTTAAATTGTTTTCAAAATAAAGACGACTGGCTTATTGTAAAAAATTTACTACATAAACAAGTAGTTTGACAATAAAGAAAAGTCCTTGCCCTGGCTAGTTTGGCTCAGCAGTTGAGCTTTGGCCTGCGGACCAGAGAGTCACGGGTTCGGTTCCCGCTAGGGGCACATACCACAAAGAAAGAAAAAAAAACCACAAAGAAAAGTCCTTATTTGCCACCCCTACCCCCGTGCCCATTTCCATCCCCAGAGTAGAGTACTGGTCACCACTGGGTGTGTGACCCACACTCCTTTCTTTCTCTACGAACACACATACACACACATAAAGCTTTCTTTTTTTTTCTTTATTGATTTTAGAGAGAGAGGAAGGGAGAGGGAGAGAGGGATAGAAACAACGATGAGAGAGAACATCAATTGGCTGCCTCCTGCATGCCCCCCACAGGGGACAGGGCCCACAACCTGGGCATGTGTCCTGACCAGGAATCGAACCGGTGACCTTCTGCTGCGTGGGTCGACGCTCAACTACTGAGCCACACTGGCCGAACAAAGCTTTCTTTTCTTAGAGTCACAGGGTACACATTTGACAAGTTGCTCTTTCGCACGGAGAACTTTTGCTTAGAGCTTCCTCCATGCCAATGCCTCCTTTCTGTATTGGCTGAATAGTATACACATGCATTGTTGTGAAAACTGTTTTGTTACCACATCACATTTATTAAATGTAAATCTTATCATGCTTTATCTATCAAGGACATACATAGGCACCAATAACATTGAGAAATTCCCTGTTATCCAGGCCACAGCGAAAAACTTAATATTGATCAGGCAAAATAAAACAGTAAAAGTAGCACATGGGATTCTCTATCTTTTCCCAAAGGCTGAGGTGTGAGTGTGTGTGGCGGGGGAGGTTTCCTGGCAGCAGATGAAATTCCGGATGGATTCCCAAGTGTCCTGAGTGGCTGGGATGGGGTGAGGAGAGTGGGGCAGGTGGATCTTGAGGCGCCTCCTCATGGTAGTTGGAAGCCTGCTCTGTGACCTCTGCGGTTCTGCCCAGCCCAGTTCTGCGGAGGTCAATGAAAACGAACCGTTTGTCGTAACTTGTCCACCGAGCGCCAGGCATTGCCCCATCTCATGGGAGCCTCGTACTAACCCTCTCAGTGGTATTTCCTACTATCCCCATTTTCCAGATGAAGAAACTGAAACCCAGGAGAAGTCAGTTACTCAGCCAAGGACCACAGTAGCAGGTCCAGGACTTAAATGCAGGCCTGTTGGTCTCCACATCCCAAGTTCTCATGCACTCTGCTACGTCTCAGTGTTGTGTCCCCAAGTCCTGGCGTGGACATAAAATAATGACAGAGAGACTCGGATTAACGTCAGTGATGATGGGGACACTTCAGCTTTTGCAGGACCCATTTTGCCTCTGTGAAGTATTTCCTCATCTGGTCTCTTCTTACCTGGGTCTTCGCATGTGGTCGTTCTTCCCTTTTTATGGACAGAGACCATGAGGCACAAAGACTAGGTGACAGGCCTGCTCCACAGCAGAGGGACTGTTCCCCAGACTGAGTGACTTCCTGCATAGCATCCTTCAAGTGGGCCAGGGCTCTGTGGTTCCCTGGCTGTTGGATCGACAGGCCAAGAACATTTCAAATTCAAACGCATGGATCCTACGGAGCAAAGCCAACTTTCAAATCTGCCAAATATGGACATTAAAAAAATAACAGCAAAACTGTACCATTTTCTATTACCATCACTCAAAGAAAAACAAACAAAAAACCACATCTTAACACCAAACAAATATGCTTTCAGAATTAAGGGCAGCTTTTAAATAGTATATAGTTAGCTTTATGAAACATTCACCACATTGTCCTTAATTTTTCCCCAGCGAGGTGGAAGCTCTGTGGTAAACTGTCATTGGTACACCCGGAACCACTGAGCTCCACCCTGTCATCAGGCCCTGAAACGTGTCCCTCTGAGCTTAGCTGCCCTTTTCCCCGTTTATAGTAGAACAGGATAATAATAATAATTACTCATGCCCTGTATTTATCATGCTTCTTTCTAAAGAAAAGTTCAAAGCTCTTTTCTGGACTTTGCCCTATTAATCCTCTTGGCATTGCTGTGATGCGGGGTGAGGGGTGGGTGTCAGGATCTCGCCCTCACAGTGGGAAAATAAGACCGAGCAGGGAGGAAATGTGCCTGTGGCTTGAGACCAGTGGTGAGAATAGCAGAGATGTTGCCCATCTTGGAGGGACCATGGGCTGCATGTCCCTGGGAGTGTGTGATCCATGGCCCTGGCCCAGGGCGTGGGTGGCCTAGTGGGGAGACTAGCAAGTGCTAGTCTTGAAAAATTCAGCCTTTGAGAGTTAGTCAGTAGTCAGCAGGTCAGGCATGCAGGAGCCGAATGGATCCACTTGGTAGAGGCATTGTAGGAATTCAGCAGAAGGGCAGGGGCTCCCTGGTAATCCAGGGAGGCTTCTAGGAGGAGGTGGGCTGAGCAAGTCCCCAAAGGATGGAAGAGAATCTGGATAGCTTGAGGGAAAGAGGACTCTGTTCGAGATAGGGCGGCTGTGTGAGCAAAGGCAAAGGTAGAATGTGTATTTACAAAAACCAAAGAGACCGGTGAGGAAGGAGAATTGGCTGTGCCATGCTCCCTTTCTCTTGGTTGGCTTCTGAGAGGGCAGTAGATGGTGGGAAGTGGTGGAGGCTTCCCCTGGGATCTGTCACGTGTGCCTCGAAGTCTGATCTCCCCACAGGGAGTCAGGGGCAGCACTTCCCTGCAGTGACAGGCTGGGTGGGGACCAGCGCTACATCTCCAGGGAGCGCTGTGGACAAAAGCAATGCTGCTAGTGGGGACAGTGCCTGCAGCCTGGCCAAAGGGGCAGTGGGTCTGCTGAGCACAGAGGTGGAGACAGCAGACTAGAGCAAGTAGCCCCAAAAGGTGGGAGGTCTTAAAGCCAGGCTGGGCCCATGTCTAAGGCCATAACTCTCAGGCAGGGCCAACCAGACCTCCTCAAGGCTTGAGAGTCCTTGTGTAGGGTGGAGATCTGGGCATGAGCAGCACTTGAAAAAATAGGGCAGAGAGAACAGGTTTGAATTCAGGCACTTGGCTGTGCACTTTATTACCTGCGTCTGATAAGATGGGACAGTGGCCTGGCGGGCCTTCACTCCCCTCTCTTCTGTCCCACACTGCCGATGTGGCTGTTCTCCCCACAAAGGTCCTGCTGTGTGGGGGCTTCAGCTTGAGGCCTGTCACTGCATGGGCTCTTTCCAAGGCCTGTCACCTGATTGCATATTTATGCACCCCCCCTCCCCCAACCCCACAAAACTTGCCTGGGTCCCTGATTCCTCACTTACATTGAGAACAAGTGCCTGAACTCTTGGGCACCAGCCGAGGGCCAAAGCCTCTGGGGCCTGCAGGAGAGAGAAGACGGCCCGTCCGTAGGTTACCTCAGTGTAGCTGGGTGCAGAAGACACACACGTGAAACAGTTAGGGACTCGTGTAAGCGTTTCAATAAGTAGGTCATGGACTGCAAGTGTGGAGAGAAAGGAGTCCTCGGCATGTGTTCGAAGGTCAGGGAAGGCTTCCTGGAGGAGGAGGAGGTTTCTGAGCAGGGTCTTAGGCAAATTGTCATGGCTCAGTGAGAGGGTGTTCATCTTGCCTGGTGGGGGTGGGGACAGGGACTTTGGGGCGGGAGCCAGCTAATGTGTCCTTGTCCTTTCAGCCACAGTTCATGTGCGAGGCCATGCTGATCCTGGGCAAGCTGCATTACGTGGAGGGCTCCTACCGGGATGCCATCAGCATGTATGCGCGGGCCGGGATTGATGACATGTCTGTGGAGAACAAGCCTCTGTACCAGATGCGGCTGCTGGCGGAGGCCTTTGTCATCAAAGGTAGGTGTGGGTGCTGGCTGGGGCTCTTCACCCCATGCCCAGCTTGTCACTCTCAGGCCCCCGTGTGCCAGGAGCAGGCTGTAGCTGTAGGGCAGCAGATGCTGGGTTGAGGGTGAGCCTGCCGGGTTGTTGTCCAAGATAACGTCACCCCTGGGTAGTGCCCAGGCGCTGACCAGCCAGCGGGACACCAGGGGTAACTGGGCATGCAGCTGACGTGGGCACCAGGCCGGATGTCAGAAGACTCAGGTTCTCACTCTGGCTTTGTCAACTGGCTGCCCACCGTGTGCCTTTGTGAAGATTACCTCTTCACCTTCTTAGCCGCAGTTGGCTTATTTGTAAGACAGGGTGGAAATGCCTGCCTTCGCAGCCTTACCATGGCCAAGAGGAATCAGTTGTGTAACCGGGTTGAGAAAGACTTAAAAAGTGTGCCATCCTGTTGTCAGGCTGGTGCTGGTGACTGACATTGGCTACAAATTGGGTGCTTGATGGTATAGAACAGTCTGTCACTTCTCAGGTGTTTGTTGAGCACCTGTCGTGAGCAGCCCAGGCAGGGGGTGCCAGGATCCAGTGACGGACAGGTCAGAACCAACTCCCAGGACAAGGGGTGCTCTGGTGGAGACCCAGGCACATGGGGGCGGGGGGGCTGTGGATGGCCCAACAGGGTAATAGTGCCATTGAGCTGGCCTGGGCCCTGAAGGTGTTTCAGGTCAGTGAAAGCCCCGCCCCAAACCCTGTGCTTCAGGCTCCTCCTTCCCTGCATCCAAAGCGCTGGGACCAGAGCCTGAGGCGTGGCCCTGGTTGGCAGTGAGGTTCCTGGAGCCCTTCTGCCCAGGATCTTGAATGTTTGCTCATCTCCCTATTTTGGCACAAGCCAACCCCCAGAGAAAAGTCTAGAAATGCATGTGGCCCTGTGGGGATTTGGAGTCTGGCATTGGTAGGCTATTTGTTACCCTCTTCATCATAGAGAGGGACGTTCTCCCCATCTTCATATAGGGAAACTGAGGCCCAGAGAGGACACGTACCTTGTACAAAGTTACCCAGAGATTTGAGGTGGAGCCAGGACAGGAACCTCCACTCTCTGACGTTGGCCTTGGAATATGAGTGCCCCACCCCCATTCCTCGGTGTCCCTTGAATCCTGGGGAATCGACTGACATCTGTGCAGGGCACAGCCTCCTTATCCCTGGCTGATGGGGCTTCCTAATGACTGTTGTCTACTGCTGGGGCCCTGGATCCCTTTCCCCATGGAGAGACTGTTCACGCCATCCCAGGAAATCTGCCAAGCATGTCACCCTGGACAGGCCCAGCACCAGCCTGCGGGAGGGCAGGTGCTCATCTGGGGTGGTCTGTCTCAGAAGAGCCCAGTCTGTGGGCTCTGCTCCCTTTGCTCTCTCGTCCCCTTCTCTGGGCCCCTGGCACAGGCCAGTCTCGGGGGTAATCTTCATTTGGCATTTGGGTCTTTCAGGCCTCTTGGAAACCACTTCTGCCACAGACTTCCTGAACCTAACACCTTTCCTTGGGGGTCCTTTCCAGCACTTTTTTTCCTGTCGAACTGGCTCGGTACCTACTGCTCCCTGTCTCCTGCTCTCTACTCTTTCCAGCACGCCTCCAGCTTCTTGGTGGTCAGAGGTCCTGCAGGGGAGGTAAGGAGCCGGGCACCACGGTGTGGGCGGCTCAGCCATGGGCTGCGCCAGCTCCCGCCCCTCACTGACTGTATGTGGCCTCCCACTTGCCTGCCTCCTCTCTGCTTGTCCTCCCTGTCCTGTTGCATTGACCATGCCCTGTTGCTTGACATGCTGAGGTTCACCTGACCCTGCGTGTGCTTGAGACCATGCACGTGGCCTCCAGAGTCTGCATGATACTGATTTTCCTAGGTTTGGGGGGACCCAGTGAGTCTCCCCATGCAGAGAGTAGGGGATGGGGATGGCAGGTCATTGGTCCTGACTCCATTCATGAGCAAGGGGGTTGTTTTATTCAGTCCAGGCTTCCAAAACAAAATAGCACAGCCTGGGTGGCTTAAACAACAGTAACTTATTTCTCACAGATCTGGAGGCTGAGATGTTCAAGATCAAGGTACCATCAGGGTTGAGGCCTGGTGAGGGCTGTCTCCTTGGGTTCCAGGTGGCCACCTTCTCACAGGTGTCCTCATACGGCCTTTCTTCCATGTGTGCAGCATGGAGAGATCCCTCTCTCTTCCTCTTCTCATAAATCCACTGATCCCATCATGAGGTCCACCCTCAGGACCTCATCTAACTCTGATCACCTCCCAAAGCACCATCTCCAGACAGCAGTTCAGTGGGGGATAGGGCTATAGCTTATGAACTTCGTGGGGGACACAAACATTCAGTCCATAGAAAGAGCCCACAGAGGGTGATGGGGAGCGGTTATAATGACCTCCGAGATGGGTTGTGCAAACAAGAAGAGCGCAGGAGGTGCAGGAGCCCAGAGAGAGTTTCCTGGCACTGACTGCAGAGCCTGGGCCAGCCAGAGGGACAGTGTCTTTGGTACCATCATTCTGTCCATGAGGGTAGCCCAGAGGGGGCCCTAACTGGACCGTGTGGACCAGGGGACTTGAGCCTCTCCTGGCCTCCTTCAGCCCTGAGTAGGAGCTGCGGCCCCCAGTGGAGCCCCGCACTGCTGTCCCCTGGGTCTGCTTAGTGCAGAAGCAGCCCAAGGCCATTGGGCGAGTTGTCCAGAAAATTCACTTTCATATGTTAGCATCAGTCACCTTGGTTCGAATGGGGAGCCTGCTCCACTCCTACCCTTTCCCCCAGCCCTGCAGGGGCCCTGTTGTGACTTTGGCCAGCCCCTGCCCCGACTGCACATGTCAGACCAGGGGATGGCCCTGGGAAGGGAAATGTTTCCAGCCCATTCCAGGTGCAGAAAATAGACGGTGCAGCCCACCACCATTTTGGTTTTGGGGAGAGGACCATCTTGCATTTACTTTGTAGTAAAAAACAATCTGGAGTAATTTGGTTTTGAGGCTCCTAGAAGGCCCTGGTGCTGCCCACTCTCATAAAGCCCTTGGCAGGTCCTGCTCCTTGATTGTGTGTACTCGTGGCTGTCAGCCCTGCCTCCCACTGACCTGGAGCCCCTGGAGGACAGGCGGGCATTTCTCCTGTACCCCAGTATCCTGTTTCTCTTCTCCCTTCCCAAAGCCCACGCTCCAGCCGAATGGGGTCTGCTCCTCGTGGACAACTTGACGACAGAGTTCTCTTCCTTCACCTCTTCTTGGGCCACGGTCCTCACACGTGGCTAGCCCTAACATTCCCTTCGGACACAGCTCTGGTACCTCCTCCACCAGGAGGCTTCCCTTGCTTGTTCGGCCTACAGCATTTTCTCCCTCCTTCAGTCTCATCTGGACCTTGGCCCAGCACATCTCCCCAGTTACAGTCAATCAGAATGATTCTCCTGCCAGGGGCCTGGCCTCGAATAATTGCACCCCTCAAGGTCCCCAGCCTAGCTTTTGGAGGAGAAAGTAAAATTTGCCAGGAGCTGATTGAGCAAGTACCTGCCAGGCTCACTGAGATGAACAGTTATGGTCCCTTCCCTTCCCTCCCCACAGTTAAGGGAGGCAGGCAGCAGAGTACAGCTGGTGTGAGTTGGCTCTCGGAAAACAGCTGCTCAGGGGCTGGAGCTGAGCCCACAGAGGCAGAACGGACGAGTCATGAGCTACCTGGTGCCACTCTCTCCTGCCCAGTCTCTGCATCCACAGGCCACTGTGTCATTGGAGCCTGTTGTTGACACACCAGGACACGCAAACACCCCAGAGGTGACTGGGCTGTAGCTTATTACCATGGCCTGCTCGGGCTGGACGGTGGACCTGCTGCCTGGCTGTAGCGCCGTGGCCATGTGGCTGCCTCCAGCTCCGTTCTGTGGGGAGCTCTCAGGCCTTGGCACCCAAGGGGGCATTTGTGAAGTTCCCCCTGGGGCTGCAGCTCCTCAGCAGCCCACTTCCTAATGGGCCTGTCACACCTGGGATAGCCTTTTGAGTTGAGCAGTCTGAGACCTCATTTGCCAGGTTTGGCATCTGTCTGCCTCTGTAGCTCCCCAGGGCTCCCTAGTAATAAGCCTTTGGGCAGTTGGCATTGGATCGTCTCTATGGATGAGAAACGAGAGCCAAAGGCTGTGCTGACCCAGGGTCCTTGGATCTAGATGCAGGCCTAGAAGTTTCTGTCTCTCAACAACAGACCCCAGGCTCCTCTCAGCACCCCCAGCCCTCAGGTTAATGGGTAAGCCATGGGCTGGGCTAGATGCCCTCTGGTTGTCTGGCAGCCGGGGACTTGTGAGGTCCTGAAGGATCAGGCCCCAGCCCTAGGTCCTGACAGGAGCTGATCTTTCTGCCTCTGGCACTATGTTCAGAAAGAGAAGAGACTGTCCAACCTTGATTATCTGACTCGACCCTCAGTCACCTTGAATTGTCCACAGGGAAAAGGGATTCCTAGCAAAGCCGTGTCATTCATAGGGCTACCAGGAGTAAAGCTTGCCTCCTTTTGTGGGCCTTACTTTGAGCCCCAAAAAGTATCCAACATAGGCTGATATCCTGGAATATTCTACCAAATGCCCTAAAGCTCCAGCCTCCGTGGCCCCAGGTCTCACCTCAGTTCAAAATAGGCTGCATTTTAACTGGTGCTGCTGCTGCTATGTGTCTGGAATTCCAGTTTCTTAGCTAGGAGATGGCAAAATTCTCACTCCCATACCTGACCTCCACTCAGCCAGTCGGTACTTCAAGAATTGTCCCCTCTGTCATCACACTTCTGGGATCAGTTTTCATATAGCCAGGCTCACAGTTGTAATGACAAAAATACAACTCCACCTACCTAGAAAACAACAACCAAAAGCAGGAGAGACTAGACATGTATAAGCTCCTGTAACTATTAAGTTGTTGGGGTAGGTGGCATCAGGCATAGCTGGATCCAGAAGCTCCGTGTGTTGAGGTCTTGCTCAGCATCTCCAGGTTTAGATGGTCCTGCAATAGAGCACTCACAACCTGAGAAAGAGT